TGGTGGTGGGTTGGCTCCGCTGGTGGGGGAGGAAGCCGGCCAGGCCTGGCAGGCTCAAGCGTATAGTGAGGGGAACGACTTCCGGACGGCTTCGAGGAAATTCTAGTCCATCGTCCTGCGGCTCAGAGTGGGAAAGCGGTGCAGCATCAACAGTTTATGGTGGGGATGGGGTACTGCTGACCTCAACTCGGGACGTTTTGGGTCGGTGGAGGGAATACTTTGGAGACCTCCTCAATCCCACTGACATGCCTTCCAACGAGGAAGCACAGTCTGGGGACTTGGGGGTGGACTCCCCTATCTCTGGTCGCTGAGGTGGTTAAAAAGCTCCACAGTGGCCGGGCCCTGGGGGTGGATGAGATCCGCCCAGAGTTCCTTAAGGCTCTGGATGCTGTGGTGCTGTCCTGGTTGACACGCATCTGCAGCAGAGAATTTAATGAGCTGATCATTTACTGAATCAGCCTGGCTCAGTAGGTAGAACTGTGGCATCATACCTCTGTGGTTACCGATTTGATTCCAGGCCCAGCATTATTTGTGGGAATTGCATGTAATCTTGTTTTAGTTACTTTCCTCTTGCATACTCTGGTTTCCTTCCATGGAACAAAGACTTGTTTGGTTTATTGTCTTGAAATTGCCATGTGCACTGTGATGAACAAGCACCCCTTCCGGGATATGTCCTGTGCTTCTGGAGATATGCTTGTCAGCCCCCTGCTTTTGATTATTGAAGATTCACATGATTTTTTTGTGGTTTTTGTAAATGGAATAATGCAGATCTGATATAAAGAAAGACCACCGGATCCACTACAACATGTAGAAGATGGACAGTAAGTCTGTGGATAATAAGCCTCCAGAGCAGGGCTGCCCAATCCTGCCCCTGGAGCAGAGCTTAGATACAGCCCTAATATAACACACCTGATACAGATAATCAGGCACTTCAGTATCACCTCAGTATTAGAGTCAGCTATGTTGAAGTTGAGCTGGTTCTCATACTGAGATATAACTGAAGTGCCTGATTATCTCTATCAGGTGTGTTAAGTTGCTGTACCTAAGCTCTGTAGGGTGGTAGCTCTCCAGGGGCAGGATAGAGCACCCCTGCTCCAGAGGTTTCAAAATGATTGCATAATGGCTGAAAAAGACTGATGCAGGTAGATTTTTGCTTTTAAAAGCCTATATTTTACTTGGCAGGTATAGAAAGGCCATCCATCCATCTTCTGAAACTGCTTTTCCTGCTTAGGGTTGTGGGGATTCTGAAGCCAATCCCAGAGGCTATGGGCGCAAGGCAGGGAACAACTCAGGCATGTTTCACTTCAGTCTAGCAGATTCTCTGTGCGGTCAGATGGACATCAGCAAACGTGATGTCCCTCTCCATCTTTCCCATATCACAGCCATCTCCCAGAAGTCCTCCACTGACAGTGTCTTGGTGATTCATTATCACCCTAACCCTAACCCTAACCTTTTGCATGAAATACAATGGTAAATGTCAGGAGGTAATTCTAACTGAATCAGGACCTTACATCATTATGATGCAAGATTCAAGATTTTTATATGTCACATAGTGGTAGTGAGTAAAATGAAATTGCTGCTACTCCAGACTTTGCAATAAAAAGGTTAAGAGGATTACAAAATCAAACAACATAAGTGTGATTTTTGTAAAAAGATATGTTTAATACATTATCAGTATATCCTTTGATAGTTATTGCAGTATGTTGTTGACTGTCTAGCAGTGTAATCCAGTTGGATCTCTGACACTTGACTGACTGCCAACATAAGTCTGCAGACCCAGACAGTACTGAAATCCATGACCATCTCTGTAAAAACATTAGCATTTCACCAACCTCCAGACTGTATAGTCTGGCACGACTGCTGCAGGCATTGCAGTTTTCAAAAGAAAAGCCAAATATCCCACCCTTGTAAAATGCACTTTTAAAATACTTTTGCCAAGTCCAAGAGTACTAAAACCCAGATTTCGAGGGAATATATGTTGTCCATTTTGGCCTTTGATGCACCATGTGAAACAGAACATTGGCATGATTATGTCCAGTCAAATATTTAAAATACGATTTTCACTGCTTATTGAAAATCCTGTGTATATTTATTATAAAGATATTGTTAGTCTGAAACATTTTCTAATATCTTAAAAATTGATATGGTTAATCAAACGAAACTACAACATTACAAATGGAATCATGTGCTTTCTTATTGCATGTGTATTTTATGTTTGTGGGTTATTCTTTTCAAAGGCCAATGTTACACTGCCATCTGTTGGTTATTGACGCATTGAACAGATCGGTTTAACGTCCTCGCTACTGTAAATACTGTATATAATGAAAATGTACGTTTTTAGAATATACGTTAAAAGCAAATATTATGCAAAACTCACTGTAATTACAGTATCAATTGACTAATATATAAATTTGCTTTTAGCTGAAAATAATAAAATAGATCAAATATATTATTGCATTAATTTAAATACAATTTTTAAACGTATTTTTATATATTACGAGGAAGTTAAAAGTGAAGTCAGATATACATGCTTTATGGTTACAAGTATACATTCTGATAATTTGATATGATTTTGAACTAAATTTAGGAACGACTAAGCAACGCTACGTATTAAGAAGATTGAAATCGTAAGTAAACGTCAGCATCTTAGAGAATAACATAAAAATAATTCGGAGTGCAATAATATTTTAATATACCGAGGTGTTTATTTTCAATTTCTGTTTAGTATTCCAGGGAACAACTAGTTAATTGGTGCTTTGGTCTTCATGAAAATGAAATAATCGAGAACAGAACGTGTCACAGAATAAGTATTAATCCCTAGCAAGAAAACAAAAACTCTCCCCATAAAAATCCGGGTAAATCCACTTCTTTTTGGCCAACTAGATTATAAACCGCTTCAATAAACAAACGGTCGAGTGGGCGTGGCTGGTTCTACAGTAGTTGAAATAAACGCCCAAATTCGCAAGCAATACCATCACCGGCTTTGCTCATTGGTCTCTCTTCGCTTGGGTCAAAGGTCACCCAATCGGCGAGCTGCACCAGCCAACGTACGAGGTCATCTCTGAAAGAACGAATGGAAAATGGAAGCCTTGGAGGCAATAGTGAAGAAGTTATTGACCTTTTGGAAGATAACAGCTCTCAAACAGCATTTGCCTTGTGTTTTATTATTTATTTCATTCACGGGATCCATAATAAAGTGTTTCCTCTCAATGCCGGAGACCTATTTTAGTAACAAGAGAAATTTCCTGAACGTGTAAGTAGCAAGCGCCAATGAGAGTGTAGGAGAGAGCGGTGTACTTTCACCTGCTAGTTAGCTTACTGTAGATTTATGAAATCCTGACTCTGTGATGGAGAAACTGGATTATTCAGTTGTCGTAATTCCAGCGGTGGTTGTCCATTTGATTTCAGTTAGTATATGTATACATGTCCAGAGGCATCTATCTGTCTAGCTGTTTTGTCTATTCATCCGTGCGAAACCGTGTATTTACGTGTTTATGTATATTTGTAATTTATATGTACTTGTGTCTGCATATTCCAGTTATTGGTCACGTTCACTGGAGTAAATTTGTTAGATAACTCGCATGGTGCAAGTATCGAAGTAAGCCTCCAGTTTTTTTTAGCAGTTATAACCTCTAATAGCTTCTATATTAACCTCTAATACTTTCTCAGTATTGGCACAATGCATGTGTAACAGGACGTTTTGTTTTTACCTTATTTATATTTCATATTTATCAATTAAATATCGCTCTTGTTTCGTACAGGTACTTAGTCAAATTTTCCTGGGCTTGGCATCTAGCCTTGCTGCTGCCCTTCATTGCCTTCTTCAACTCCATCAGCAATACTTGGGGCTTTGTGCTGCAGCGACTGAGTTCACAGCTGGTCTCCACAGCTGTATGGTACATCTGCACACAGTTTTTCTTCTACTTGGAGGATGTCACAGGCACCTGCCTGGAGAACACAACGATTACCACGAAGGCAGCCTGCAGGAATGTCGGATTCCAGTGGGATGGCTACGATATCTCTGGACACTCTTTCATACTTGGTTATTCCACCCTTGTGATTGCGGAGGAGCTTGCGCCAATGACCTATGTGAAGAAGGCCGTGGGCTTTCACAGTCACACAAGTGCAGCCCTCAGTGGCCTGTATGTGGCCCTCAATGCTTTGCTCGCAGTCTGGATATGGATGTTTGGCTGCACCTCTGTATATTTCCATGAGATTTTCCAAAAACTCTTGGGGACAGGCTTTGCAATAGCAGGTTGGTATGTGACATATCGTGTATGGTTCCCAAAGCCCTTCTCTCCGGGATGCCCTACCCAGCACAAGGGGAAAAGGCTGCAGGCCTAGGCTGAGACCATGGAAATCAGCCCCAAACACTACGTAAACGCAGCATCGGCTTCCTCACTGGGTCCAAATTGATTTTTCTTATTCCACCTCCAAAAAAGGTCATTTGGAACAAAAGGCTTGGTTTCTTTGTCAGCAGGGGGTATTTAAAATGGAGACGTGTGCTGTGTCTCTTTGGCATGTCCACAGCTCTAGGGATCACATTTCATAAATTATTCCAGTTATTGACTTGGTTCTTTCCTAATTACCCAGGTATTGTAATAGTTCTGAGTTAAAATACTTTCTATAAATGTTCTGATTTAAAATTCATTTAGTTCAAGCCACAAACATTGTTTACAGAAAAAAAGTCATGCCATATTCTTCCCTTTTGTGTGCAATGAGCTCAATGTACTGAACGAACTGTTAGTTCTATCAAGTTCAATTTAATACCTTTAGATGAAGTCGATGTTTTTAATACTAGTTACTTGATTTGCAGCTCTAATTCCTACTCAAAGCCAAAGCATGTAAAACATGTATCTGCATGTGTGTTTCTGGTACAAACTACAGTTGATGAAAATTAATAGTTCAAAGTATTTGTATGGAAATAATTTACATATATAATGTATACATCTGTATAATATACAATATTATAGAATTAGAAAGCAGAATAGCTTAAAGTGTGATCTGAGGGATTCCAAGAATGATTTGTTAGAAAGAAATCTATTACAGCTGTTTCTGTGTTTTTTTTATTCACCCAAAAGGCTGCATAAATACTCCTAGAATGCATTGGCCATAATTTTACATGTACTTGGATATTAATAAAACCAACGTGGTTAAAAACGCAGTGTATTAACACAATTTACTGTCAATTCCAGATCCTCATAATATTTGTCATTTCAGGCTTTCAGAGAATACCAAGACCGTGCTGTATGTATAGTATGTAAAAATAAAAGACATTGCCCTCGATTCTTTATTGTTGTCAGTTCTAGATGTTATAGGTAAATGACAAACTTCTGGTGACAGGCAAAGAATGGTCCTTCATGGGTATTCCGACCATGTCTGCCCTTGAGACTGTAGATTTTATATTGATATGGGTTGATCCAAAGTCACTCATTTGTGGTAGGTTCTCCAAAAGCATGTGAATTAGGATTGACTTTGCTTTTCAGATACATTTATTACATTCTTTGTGCCACAAGTAGCATGTAAATGAGGTCACATCATGTAGCGATAGATACAGAGAAAGATCCTTGGTGAATCAGCTTTAATGTTTTATTTATTTATTTTTTTGATGGCAACTGCACAAATTAAGGCTTATGAACAAACATCATAAAAAGCACTCAAAATAAATATTTATTAATATAAAAATAAAAAATACAAATAAAAAAAACATTAGGAGATACGTACAACAAATAGACTTTCCATTCTTTGAGTTTTGTGTAATCCTTGAAAATCAGACCTGAATTTGCTGATTAAGGTTTTTAAAGGGGCTTAGGTTAATGGACTGGGTTTGAAAAACAACATATTTCTAGATACGACAGCTTTAATTGTCATTAGGACTCGATTTTACAATAAATGCTCATTTTAAGTACTTCCCTTCTTTTGGGAATGAAACAAATGATTGAAAATAACATGATGTATGCAAAGTATGGTTATAACGATAGACAGAACTATGACTCATTGAGACGGAATAACATTACAGTATGTACTTTTTACTGTTTCTGATGCCCATGTGGGCTTTATATTTCATTTCTCATACAGAATGCTCTGTTAAAATAAATAAACAGTGTACTTTTAGAGGTGAGACCAGTGGAAAGGTAGCACAGGAACATCTGTATATACGAACCATCATTTATGATTGGCAGTCCTCTGGCAGTTGGAAACGTATCGCTAAAAGATCAGTCATTAACTCCAAAAATACTTAGAGAAGAAACATTTCAGGGCAAAGGGAAAACAATTGATATATTTGATGTAAGGATATTACTCAACTAGTGATATGTTTTCATGCTTAAAGACCAGACCTGTTTAGGCAAATAAATGATGTCGCTTTTAGGTTTGGTGTCCGAAACGCTAAAACAGATGTTTCTCCACAGCAATCGTGTAGTAAGATTCCAGTAGAGATCGTAAGATCTAATTCTTTCTTCCAAAAGAACTAAACGGTTGACCCTGAAGGAAACCCACCAATTAAAACAAAAAGGCATTTAATCACCAGAAAATGTGCTGTTAAGAATTCCTCGCTATGGAATGTTCATATTTTCTCTCGTTATTCAGGTAAATAAGAGTGTCTTTATATATGTTGTTTTTCTTCACATTTCGCTGCTGTAAAACATGAGTACAGAAAAGTTGGAACATCACACAGTTACATAGACAGTGAGAACAGCGGGAGGTATCTATATGTATTTCTTTTTCAAATACCAGTAGGCAAAATAGCCCATTCCACCCAGGGAACCCATTAAGAAGGAGGCACCGAAAAATGAGGGTGGCTTTTTCTTGACCATGCGGAAAGCGTTGGGCAGCACCGCGGAGAGGAGCGTGGTGTGAATGTCACCCAGGACCTTACGGAAGGCGTAGCGCTTCTGCACCCTCTCAAAGAAGGACTGAAGGTTTGGTCGGCTGCCATCCTCCCAATATTTCCGCGAGAGTCCCAGGAACTTGAGCCTGTGTAACGTGGCTCCTAGACATATGTCAGCCAGGGTAAAATTGGGTCCGCAAAGCCAGAGCTCACACTTCTGACCTGTCGTGTCAAAGGAAGCAGAAAAGAGTAGTCGCGTTAATAAGCTTTACAACAACAGCAGTTCAAGTACTGGTTTCCGTTTATTGACCAAAAAAGAAAAATTATTGTGGTTCTTTGGACAGCAAATATCTCAGGCCTCAATTCTGAGGACTGCTGGTTTTGGCGTAGGGTCTACCGACTCAAATGTTAAAGTCAACTGGATGAAAGTTTCTCCTAAACATCTAAATCAGGGGTGCTCACACTTTTTCAGCTTGCGAGCTACTTATAAATGACCAAGTGAAAATGATCTACCTACTATAAAAATGCAAAACATATATTTATTTATAAATATATTGAGTATTCTTTATTATTATTAATTTCCCTTTGGGATAAATAAAGTATTTTTGAATTGAACTGGGATTTTAGTTCCTTCACCTTTCTCAGCTCGCTTTTCAGAGGGAAATTAATGTCGTAGTTTTTATGAACAGTCCGAAAATGCCGCACCACATTTCCTTTCTTCGGAACAGCAATGGTAGACTGACAGATGAGGCAAATGCACTTTGAATATGACATGGTGAAATAAAAAAGTCCTCCTCCCATTCCGTATGGAAGTGGTAGGTTTTTGGCTTCTTGGTCCAGCTCCTCCATTCATTATTATACCCTTTCATAAGTTTAGTAGAAATAAACTGGAGGCTGACTAGGCGACTCGGTCGCTTGCTGGAGTTTTGCAGCAGCTGGCACGGTTGAACGCATTGTCCATCCTCTATTTTTTTTATGCCATGCGATCTACCCACATTACCTTTGCGATCAACCAGTAGATCGTGATCGACGTATTGGGCACCCCTGATCTAAATGTTCTATGCAACATACACAGATATACACTAATACATCACTGAAAATGCACTGTTAATTTTAATTAGGCTTTAATTCGGGTTTAATCAGGGTTTTATAAGCTCTTTACCAGAGTCTGACCCAGAGGTCCTGTCCCCAAAGAGCAAGTCTGAGGGGACAGTGGCAAGGAAGAACTCTCAGAGAGAGGAAGAAACCTTGGGAGGAACCAGACTCAGAGGAGAAGCCCATCCTCATCTATCAGAACATGACCATAGACAGTAATGGGTTCAACCTTGATATTCCAGTTTTCTTTTCTCTAGTTCCGCCTCGACTTGATCCAGCACCATGGCCAGTTCACTGAGGATCTTCTTCAGGTAATTTACGTTGTCGTGATCCAGGATTTTTGCCTATGAGCATAAAGGTGACATATCAGTAGGGCGACGCTGTCAGCCTGCCAGCCCACCAAAGTGCTAAGTCACAATCTCAGCATTTTCACTCCAAAGATTCTTAGGAGAAGGAGGTTCACTTCAAATCAAGTCAACAACCGAGGGAAGAAACGGCTTTATTACAGCTCTGTTGTGTGAAATGACACTATTTTATGTTGTTATACAAAAGATATATAGCAATACTGGACAAGCCCTGACAAAGGCAGTTACACTAAGTCATTGCTGTTGGCTTCTTGTCAGGTTGACATAATGCCAGTTCTAGTCAAGTTCGGGCTTCTCTATAATCCAGCAGGGTTCAGAAGAAGCACGATTATGCCTTTTTATAAATGGATAAAACCCAGTCCCACGCAAAGTTCGTTAACGATCGCAGCTGAACCATCACGGAGCTGAGTCACAGATTCACTGAAACTCAACACCCATTGACATTTTGCTAGGCACCAACCTGAGCGTGTATCTGCAGGCTCTGTGTCCTGAAGGGCGTGGGGGGCCTAGTGTCAGAAAGCCCTACTAGCAGGGAGCAAGCAGATATTTGAGCCGGGAGAGGGAGCCAGTGCTCAGAACAGCAATGCGGCAGACTATGGGGTGGTTTTGTCTGTCTGGGGCGTGTCCTTGAGGACGAGGGCAAACGCAAGACTTTCTGTCCCCCCTTCACCTGACGTCCATTTCCTCGGGATTCAGCCAACAGCTGAAGGAATCCAGGATTCTCTGTGTCCCTGTGGGTTTAACCTCGCGGGAGGCCGTGCCGCTTTGAGCCATTCTCTCCCTGGAGCCTTGTCCCATTGGGTCTGTGCTCCAGCTCCGTCTTTGATTTCTGTTTGTTTCAGATCTATTCATATTCAAGTTCCGCCCAACATTAGGCATCAATTTTATGTTCCTTTTTTTGGCGTGATATGTAGCTCAGTGGGATCTAGGCCAGCATCTGGAAGGTTGTAGGTTCGAATCCCATGGCTGGCAAAGCAATTATTTTACTGTTGGGCCCCTGGGTAACGCCCTTAATCTTCACATCACTTCACACTAGTACTGCTTATTTCACCAAGAAAACTGTATAAAGGGACAAAACTGTATATCAGATAAAAGCAAAATGTTGATCTCAATGTTCATAAAAGGTGCTTAAACCAATAGCTCAGCTGAAGAGAAAAATGGTGACATTCCATGCAGGATAAAACTACCCCATAATTTTCAAATTGTTAAGAAGACCACATTCTTCCTCCATTCAGCTTTGCAATTGACAGATACAAAAGGCCACAATATAATTATAATAAAAATTCAAACTTCTGTTTTATGGGTTTTTACAGGTAGATATATTCAGTTCATAGTATTGACAGATCATCCCAAATTTAGCATTTCATCTTTTTAGCGTGACTTTGATATAGGGCACATTGTCAAGGCAGTGGGTTCCGATTTTACCCTCTGTCCTCCTGCATTGTGTTCATAGTCTATTCTTGACTGGCCAGTTAGTGATGGGAGAAATGAGCCTTCACGCAGTGGGTGAACTGTCAATAATTGCCTGCTTTAACCCAGTGGGAGACAATGACTGATGGGAACTGAGTTAAAAATGGCAGTGACTGATAGCACAAGAAAATCCCACTCAGGTTTCAAAGCCTTGGTCCCAATATTTCATCCGGCTGCTTGCTCTGGTCAGGGTCACAGCAGAGCCGAGAGCCTATCCCAGGCAACACAGAGCAGAAGCTAGGGGTACTTCCTGGACAGGATGCCAGCCCATCACTGGGCACATTCACGCGCCCCAACCTCACACACTACAGACAAGTTAGAGATGCTGCCTCACCTCTGCGTGTTTTTGGACAGTGGGAGGAAACACACGCAACTTCCTCTTAATTTTGTACAATTTAAGGTGATGCTCCCTATAACACCTCTGAAGGCTTTCCTCACCATGAGTTTCTTCTGCTTGGACAGGTAGGGTTCTGTGATCTGGGGCTCCTCGTGGTCAAGCTTCATCAGCTCAGAGGCAGCATTGGCCAGGTGTCCTGCAGAGGGACATACCCAGGGTGTGACCTTAGCTCAGAAGCAGCCGTAACCATGGTTCCCCAGAAGGACACACCCATGTTAGCTCAGAAGCAATGGTTCATCCCAATGGCCTGGGCAGGGGCACAGGAAGTAATTATACCTCAGAGGTAGCATTAGCCACAGCTAATTTGTTTTATTTGTACTTTTGTAAGGTTTTAACCTAAGCTATAGATGAGGGCTATGGCGTGCTAATGGCTATCTAAGATAATGATGATGTGGGTGTTGCTGACCCGCTACTCTGCAGCAACAAGGGCAGCATTGTCAATCAATTAAGCAACAATTACCCAACTGGGGGATGGCCAATTTACTACCTGTGACTCAATTTCCAAACCGCAGGTCTCTGCCAAAAGTAAGCTGCTAAGATCAAGGTGTGCTTCAGCAGGCATCGTCGATAAACATATTTCCCTGTGTTTGTGTTTGAAAACATAGTTGCTCTTGTTTTGTCAGTTTCCTGTATAACAAACCCTGCCACTGGCTGCCTTTTCCTCCTGATATCTGAAGTGGGCCCAAACACACAGATGTCACAGAAATGTTGTTTCCTTTTCCATTGTTAGTACACTTTGAATTCCACTTTGAATTGAGTTTTTTAGTACGTGTGTTAATTTTAATTTACTTTTGCTTTGGTAATTTCAGCTTCGCCTACCTAAAAACAGTAGCTAGTGTGAGACTTGGTCTGTGGCAAGTAGGGGTGTAAAGATATCGTTTGCCCAGAGTTCGGTATGTATCGCGATTTGGTATATTACCGAACCGTTCGGTGCGCCATCTGCTGTTGTATAATGACATATAATTTCTAACCTTCAAAAATAAAATGACCCCATTTTTTAAATGTATTTTTTTGGGGGGAAAAAACACTCTCATATTCACACCAGTACGTAAAGGACAATTACAGGCATATCCTAATACTGGGGTATCACACCGCACAGTTCAATGATACACCGTGCATCAACCGGGTAAGGAAACATGTTGCTACCAAACTAAATATATGGCTGTTTGTAAAAATGAAATGTTGATTGTTTAATTAAAGGGTGATGTGTTGCTTTTTCTTAAATATAAGGATACCAAAACATTACCGTTACCACGGCCCCAAAACCACGATACATACTGAACCGTGGGCAAACAGTATCGTTACACCCCTATCAGCAAGAAGAAATCAACAAACCTGCAATCTTTGAATATTCTATGCTTTATGTTTCAGTTGTGCTTTGTGAAATTTAACCACACTTTTGGCAATGTGATATCTTTGACTAGACATACCACACTATCAGCCTGAGCTAGAAATCTTGGTTTCATCAATTTGTTCTGTACTGGCAATTGAATTTATATGTTACAAGGCTAAACCTGTGCTTAAGGCTGAATGAAATTGATTTTTGTGTCTAGGGTTATCTGGCAGTAGTGAGTGTGGATAATTTAGGGCCCATTCATAGTGCAAAAGTTAACACTAATACCAACCATTTCAAGTTTGCCCAAAAACTATTAAAAGTTAACAAAAACTGTTTACACCCATTAAATTGCTCAGGTGCCCCCCAAAGTCGGCAAAATTTCATACACATGGGCTCTTCCCTTGATCTACTGAAGCCAAAGCCATTACATTATAGAACAGCAAGATGCAAAATTTAATTTAATCTAGTGTAAGTGCTCATGTGTTCTGGATAGCATAATGCTTTGGGCCCATGCATTACATACTCAGTCATTGTATTTTGCTGCGTAGAGTGCAAATTCTGGGAATCTTCATTTAGGATACAGTTGACAATATCCACACACACAAAGAAACTGGTCTCACCCACACTAGGATTATTAAATTTAATCATTTGAATTATCTTTTATAACTTTGGCTGAGATTACACCTGCATTACAACTGGGTGTTTATTGCAGATAATTTCAAGATGTTTATTTATCCAAACCAGTTGTAGGTTTACTTTTAATGACTGTGTGGTAATAAAGGCTCACTTTCAGCCCTGTCTGGCCTTCCCTATCCACACCACCTCACTGCAGCTGAGAACGGTCTCCATCGCTAGAAAGTTGGACTCTGGTATCACTTACTACGTATTTCAGCAGTGGCGTACTTTGGGATCATGGAGTCGGTGGTGAGCTCAGGGTGCAGGATACAGCCGTGTGTGTAGGCGTCCATGGGAAGGCCGTCCAGCAGCTCCCGGTACTGCAGCACACGCGCGTGAATTGGGCTTCCAGAGTCTGGGATCAGCTGGGTCACGTTGTCTGGAAGGCCATGGGCGACACACACACACACACACACACACACACAAACAAATAAGAGTTGGCATTAAATCTACAGGACTGTGCAAAAGTCTTAAGCCAGAGGTGCCAAACTCCAGTCCTGGGGGGCCGCAGCCCTGTGTAGCTTAGTTCTTTCCCTGTTCCACCACAAATGATTCAGCTCAACAGCTGTGTGGTAATTAGCACAAGGAGTTGAATCAGGTGTGTTAAACGAGGGGAAACCCAAAAATGTGCAGGGCTCCGGCCCCCCAGGACTGGAGTCTGACACCTGCGTCTTAGGCACAGAAAATGACGTTTAAATTGATACTGGTGGGGAAATTGTCTTTACACCTCCCTCAATTTTGTAGAGTAAGCTGTCTGCGAAAGGCAGCCACCTGTTGGGATGCCCTGCCCAGTAACTTTTTGGAGAACAGAAGAAATAGTTGTTTTTTTATTGTGTTACTGTTAATTTGCATATGATCTCATGTGAAATTGTTTGATATACAAATATACAATTACCTCCCAGATAAATAGCCTTAATCATTTTCTTTGACTGCCTAAGATTTTTGACAGTACTGCACATTAATGTGCACTGAAAAATGATAGCTTCTACTCATTGAAGAGACTGTCACCTAATGACCTAGACTGGCTACTATGTGTAGGGAGAATACCAGTCATATTCACTGCTCCAGCTGTTACTCTTTTGAGCACAATGCAAATATGCCTTCACTTTGCCAAGAAAGACGGCCATGCTGGGAGCACAGAGAGTAGGTGTTCTGTTCTCGAGGCCGTCCTCTGGCAGCTGAGCAGACTGCCGATTCATCAGCCTGGACCCAGCAGAACCCAGAGAGAGTGCTGAAATCGGAGGACAGTGCGAAGGACAGCATGCACCTCTGGGGATAGCCTGGTATTGCTCTTAGAATTGTCCTTATCAGACTCATCTTATATCTCTTAGGTTGGTGACTTTAAGGACGGGCCACATCCCCTTTAAGACAGTGATGGATTAGATCAAACAGAAGGGGCATGTTTTTGTAAGACTTGCTTTGGGCGGGATTGTGAACAGAATTAAATTATGTATGGATGGGAGGGAGGAAGGAAGGAGGACTTTACTTGGAGTCTCGGGTGGGGGCAGCTTTAACAAAACCGACAGGCAGAAACAAAAACAAAGGAAAGTAGTTTCAGAACTGGCACTGGACATCAGGGTCAGAGGGATGGTCTATACAAGGGTATTGAAATGTGGCATTTGGTCCAAAAAAGAATTTGGAATGCAGCACTGGTGGACTGAATAACCTAACTTTACCCAACCCACTTCAGGATGTCGATGGCGTCCCTGGCTTAGATGTGCTTTTAGAGGTACATTTAGCAGTCAACAGATGTGATTTTATTTATTTAGCAGGCACTTTTATCCAAAGCAATGTACAATTGCAAAGGCAGGGTCAGGCAGTCCCTGGAGCAATTGGGGGTTAAGTGAGATCACTCTGCCTGAGGTCTGAAGCAGCAATCTTCCAATCACAGGCATGGAATCCTAAAGCAGCAATCTTCCAATCACAGGCATGGAATCCTAAAGCAGCAATCTTCCAATCACAGGCATGGAATCCTAAAGCAGCAATCTTCCAGTCACAGGCATGGAATCCTGTGCCGCTGAACCACATGCCACCCTGTTCTCTAACTAACACCATCGTTAGCTAAATCATAGTTGGACCAACTCTTCCTGTGATATATTTTGCAGCTGGAGACCATCAGCTCCAGACTATGAGACGTCCTCATGCAGCTCATGTTCTGTTTATAGATCTGTGATTCTTCCCAACTCAAGACATGCTATCAACAGTAACTCCATACCAGCATGGGTGGAACCAAAAATGGTGAACAAAAAAAACAAAACACACCTCATTAACAAGTTACCACAGACTCCTAGGGCTGACCGTGGGTAGGCCTACATTTCTGCACCATATGAATAATTTCCCTGAAAAGTGTAACTGCTTGAAACAATGACCACCTTGACTTTTAGCAACAAGGACTGAAAAATTAAGTTAACAGTACAGTCCAGAGCAAAACATTTATTTGTAAAACCTGACACCTCATAGTCATATGCTGCTCCATTGATTTGACCTCGATAATATGATTTGTGGCCTGACCAATATCTGCCATCAGCTAACAGCTAGCTGCTACACAGAACAGTACGTTTCCACCAACTACATGGAACATCTTCTACGCTATGCACCCTATCTCTGTGGCACCAACACTAATTTAACACCCAGTGGGCAGGTGAGAAAATGGGAGGAAGCTCTGCAGGAGACTTCAAGGAGCACCATGCATTGGACCTCTTATTTCCCGCTCATTTCCCCTGGGGTGTCACTAATTAATGTGGTTGTAAATTTGTATGTCCATTACGGTTTATAATGGGGCGCTCTCAGAACAAACAATAGATTATACTAACATTGGCTGTAATACTGGAGATAAATTAATAGAATGTGATTAAGAAACAGGTACACAGACAATAAGGCTCTTCAATCATTAAGTACTAAAAGGACCTACAGAATGCCCCACCAGTGAAAGGTCAGTAAATGCTGAACATTTATGTATTAAAATGACCTGTAAATTGAAGGACAGAACGAAAAAATGCAGGAAAAAAACAATGAAGATTTGGGATGGAAAAAACAAGATTTCTAATTTAGTAATAAAATCAATAAAAGACTATACAGTATGAATGAGAAAATATTCACAGTAACCCCTTCAGAATCTCAAATTTGCAGTGTGAGTTATTCATGAGTTAGCCATGTACAATTAATTTTGGAGCTCATCGAAAGACAATGTGTAAGCCAAAAACAAAATGAAAATGATTTGGATGACATAAAATCGTATAATATTTAAATATTAATGATATGTCATATTTGTTAGTGTAAGTGCATCCTATATCTTTAATATTAAAAGTCTTGGCTTGGATACTCTACGCATCTCTGTCTAGGCATATCTCTGTGACCATGGAATCTCGCATTTCTCACATTAACTTTAAAACTTTTCAGTGCCGGTAATTTTGCATTTTTAATAATGGGTCCAAAACGTAGTGCTCCCAATGCATACAGGAGTAACTTTATACATGCGAGGCATAAATTGGATGGTTTGTATATTACATAGAAAGGTCTAGATAGGAAATGACAGAAATTTTTGACATGCAAAGTGTACAGTACTGTACTCTGTTTAGAAATTGGTAATAAATAGACTTTTATGTTAGCGTTCAGGCTAGCAGACTGTTATTGGTTGAGGTTGGGGGGGGGGCAAGTATTATTCATGAATTTTCACATTCAGTGGTATCTTCTGCCCTAACCGTCGGAAATGTGAGGGGATTACTGTGTTTTGTGTTATACCTCCTACAAAGTTCTTCTCCAAATATTCGATGATGTGGTTGTAGTCGCTGACGATGGTGTCTCCGTGGATGAAGACGGGCACTTCCTCGCCAAGGTTGAGTCTCATGAACCAGGGCTCCTTGTGTTCCGTTAGCGGCAGGCTGACGTCACGTTCCTCGCACAGGAGACCCTTCTCGTTAATGACGAGCCGCACCTGCAACCCAGGATGCAGTGACATCACTGTCCATGCTGTCCGTCACCTGGGCACCCGCCCTTCTGCTCCACAGACACTCCTCTCTGCATTTACAGACCACATCCTAAGCTTTACTACTATCTACTGGTTATCCATAAGTGCAGGTAACGTCGATCAATCCATCCATTTTCTGTAACTACTCGTCCTATTCAGGGTCGTAGGCGGTCTGGAGCCTATCCCATAGGCTACGGATGCAAGGCAGGGAACAAACCAGGATCGGGTGCAGGGCACATTCACGCACGACTCACACACACACACACACACACACACACCTATCAGCAATTTTGTAATTTCAATTCACCTTAGCAAATTTTTGGACTGTGGGGGAAACCAGAGTACAGAGATGATACAGAGAAAACATAGAAACTCCACACACATGGAGCCATAACGGAGACTCAAACCCGGGTGACTCAAACCCAACAGTGCTAACCACTGCACCGCTGCTCCACCAAGCCGCCCTGCCTGCAGGTAACAGTTAAAGAAACATAAACACAGAACTATTGCACAGAATACTGGAAGTCTAGTTCAGAACTACACAGGTATCGTTAAAGTAATAAGCAGCTTATGTTGGCTCACGATTGTTGCTGGAAGCATCGAAAACAACACTGTCCTACAAAAGTAAAATACAGCTATGCGGAGAGAAATTGAGAAAAATATGTGCTGTCTTGCTGTTCTTGTGGTTTTCATAGGTGCTGAAATTTTCACACTGGTTTTTTCAAACGTGTGCATAACTGAACTAAGATATTTTATCACAAGATGAAACAAGGCCTAAGAGACCCAATTTTGGTCATAACTGAATACTGATAAAATATGCAGTTACAGTGTTTTGCTTTTGTATGGCAGAGCTGATATACTGTATGCTGTTAGAAAAACACATAGTTTCAGGTCTTTTTAACACTCAGCAAAATCATACTGGCTTAATGAAAATTTATGTTTACAATGTTTAAGTTTTTTTAAGAGCTAACAGTTTTAAAAAGTACACCCTGCAATGCACTCCAGTGTGTGACTGAAAATCAGGATCATGCCGAGGTAATCAGCAAAGACTGATTAAGGAAATAAATTAAGTACTGCAATAAAAATAATATCATTATAACATATAACGTAATATCATGGAAGTAAAGAAAAATCTTGAGGAAAAATAGGCAAGGTAAACTACTGTGTGCATTTCCTATAGACAAACAACATTTTTAGATCTGAAATAATGTAAATGTGTATTTGAAACATTTTAGTGACTAAGAATAATTCAATCCCAGATAACAAAACTAAAAAGTTCTCCTCTTTTTGGGATTTCAACCTGATAATGGCATTAACTATAAATGAGGGCACATTAGCAAGCAAATGCTGAATGAACAACTTATTCAGCAATAAAACACCAGAAAGTGCAAGACTGCAATATTGGAGATCAGCAGGACAAAATAACACCTACCTTCTATGATTCATATTTTTATTTTCAACTGATTTTTTTAGTCGACTGAACAGTGAACACCCCCCAATTTTGTTCGTTAATACCTTTCATAAGGTTTGAGAGAAAAAGTGAAGAACTCTCAAATTCTACAATGAATTCACATAATGCTTAAAAATCAATACTGCACAATGAACTCAAACATAAACATGCATTTCCAAACACGCCTCAGATATAAGAAGCCATATTACCCTGCCAGTGCAAGACATCAAGCACAAGAATATTTTGTGCATATACTATCCCTGATGCCACTGGATAAGCAATCGATGAAATTGTGCTGAGATGTGAAGTCTGATCCACGTCTCAATGCGGGGTCAGAACACAATGTAAATTTCCACTATGATTTAAAAGTGTATCATATGCAAAAAAACACAACACATTTTGACATGATAGATAATTGCTTTAGTAAAATGTTCTGGGTCAAACTACTATAATAATATTATGACTAGGGAGTCAAAGCAATACAACAGCAATACCTTTAGTCTGATCTGACATCCTCATTCTCAACTCTGATGGATCATACTAGCTTTCCCTGTTATGAAATGTGCTACTCATATTGAAGAAAATTAATAACCTACTTACAACCTGATACCACAACCACAAAAACAAACTCCCCACTTCCATTCTCTCTATATGCAATCTAGGCCACAATAAATCCATAACAAAAAGACAACAGATGCTTGCAAGCTCATCAATAATAAGTAGAAAAGCTGTCAAAAGCCTAATTTTACTAATGGACCAGGGAAGGCAGCACCTGTAACAATGACAGTTAGTTGCATGAGAGAGTTTCCCGAAACTTTAAAATTTCAAATGCTTTCCTTAAGTAATCTAAAGAAAAAAAAGTTGAATTTTGTTAGTTTTGTACAGGAAGGTCTATGAATGTAGTCATTGTATGAAGTGGGCTGGTACTCACTGGTATGCAGTACTGGCGGATACCGGCACCTGGTACTCAATAACAATGGGAGCACTGGTACCTGATACTGAATAACAAAGGGAGTACCAACAACAACAACAACAACAAATTTATTTTTGTATAGCGCATTATCACAACATTACATTGTCCCAAAGTGCTTTACAGCATCCCCACCCAAAGCCCCCAGTGAGTAAGCCATAGGCGACAGTGGCAAGGAAAAACTCCCCAGAAGGAAGAAACCTTGGGAGGGACCGGCAGCTGGTACTCAGTAACAAGGGGAGTACTGGTACCTGATACTGAATAACAAAGGGAGTACCGGCAGCTGGTACTCAGTAACAAGGGGAGTACAGGCACCTGGTATTGAATAACGGGGAGTACCAGTCTATTTTTCCCCCACTTCAAGTACTGAATGTAGCTTCCCTGAAACCAATTCAACTATCCATTGAAACAAACTCTCTGATTGTGTTGGCCCCTTACTAATGCAATATGTTGTCATCTCCGGTGGATGTGCCTTCCTCTTAATCAAAGAAGAAACAGGAACTTAGCACCATGATTCATATCATGATGCTAAGCCAGAAGTAGTGAAGGTGGACTATCGGTTATCAATAAGGAGGTCTTTAGCATTAGCCTAATATGGGACAATTTCCCCAGGTTCCTGCTCTTTTGGGAAGTTTGACGTTGAGGTTTAATTACAAACACAAAACTGGTTGCATTCTAGATCAGCATGCCAAAAAACAGATTACTTAAGCAAGTTTGTGACCATAAGCACAGCAACCCCAGTGTTCTTCTGTTCCATCAGCAATGAGAAAATGCTCCTTCCATCTCTACTTTCACATTGTCACACTGTTTAGCAATAATGTACTATGCCTCTGCTTTCCATTTCACTTCCCACTTGAGGCCATCTGGCTCTACGCTCACAGACCATTGACAGTACCCAGACATCTGGTCTGCAACAATATCTAGAGAAAGGATTTATGAGGAAACCCAACACAGTATACTAATCTGCATCAGTTCCTCTCCAAGTTCTACCTCCAGACAATAGATCACCCAACCATAATGCTAAACAGCCAGTCACTGTCATTTCCATGATGCAGAGGTTTCAGCCAGGACACTCCACGTTGGTCCTTCTATTTTCCTTCTGTCCAACAGTGATGACAGATGCCCACTGAGACTCCCTCCATGTGCTCAGTTAGCAACAACAAATCCTTTCTGTACCTCCTTACCTCCTTTCTAGATGCTATGGTAGAGGTATGCTGTGACAGTTTGCACCTTCTGATTCCTGCTGGACCTTGAAAAAAAACACACTGCTGACGTGAAGCTCTCATACAGAGACTAGAATCATGGATGAAAAATGGCAGTCAGGCTTTCATTACTGTCACCAAAAATCATATAAACAAAATCAACATCACAAATCATTCTTAAAACTATGCTAATACCATTTTTGATATGAAATACAATTTTGAGGCTATTCCTGTTTGACCAATACATGGTCAACCAAAACATGAAAATATACAAAGGCTGGCAGCAAAAAGATCAGAGGAGGCTCTACAGATCACACGTCACTGGAGAGATCAAGCTCAAGCCTGTCCAATCATTCACTGACAGTAAGCCGAAGTTGCTGTGATTAGGCTTCTTAGTAGCTCAAGTTTGCTGTTAGTTTTGTGCGGAAGTCAATTCGGATCATAGGAGATCTTAAAGCTATCTGCGATAACAAAACAGAACAGAATAGAACAGAATAGAATTGTGACAAGAATGAATTAATCACTAGTATAGAAGTACAGTGCATACACGCTTTATTGAGTGATTTCTCAATGCTGTCAGCTCTTACCCTGAGGTTGCAAAGTTGCATGGTAAATGCATATTTGAAGTTATACAAATTTACAAATTGATATGTTCTGAAATTTCTATTGCAAAGCTTTTTGTACTCAAAATACATTAAGCAGCTTATCCTAAGAAATATTTTGAATAGACATTATTTATCAGACCCCATATCTGTACTGGATAAATGGTTGGTAGATGGATGGATTGTTTAGAGAGAGATGGGGGGGGGGCTTATCCTCTTCAGATTTCTAATCATCTGCTGTTTATGAATCTTTAGTTGCATGTATGACAAACCTCTAGTCTAGACAATGGTGAGACTGTCACAAATCAGCCATGAAACACACCTAGTAAATAAAAGGAAAAAACCTATTTGTAATCCCTCAAAATGATGTAGCCTGATACGACACCAAGCGCGAGCAGCACAAGATGAATTTCACTGAATTTCCACTCATTAAAGATACTTTGGTTCCATTTTATATTTGAGGATTTTCAAATATGATGCCAGCAACACCAGCCATGAAACACATATGTGCTATTGACGGAATCACAAAAATCTGATAATTTATATGACACTCAAAGGCAAGGCCACCTGCTTCTTTTACAGTCTGCAACAGGTCTGAGATCTGTGAGCTTTTCTGAGCATTGAGCTTAAGGATTGCAGAAATTCAGAAATGTCTACATCTGGGTGATAACTGCTTCCCAGAACTCCTGGGTCTTATGAATGGTCACGCAGAGCTTAATTTGCAAAGCTTGGATCTTGTGAACTAAATGTGCCAATGAGATAAGTTCTGCAGAGAGGGTTGGAATCATGTCAAAGTGATTCTCAAGAAATCCAATCATTACATTCACTGGGCTGGTGAGTGACCACAGCTCAGATCAGCAGATAGCGTGGCCTCTGGTTTTTGGCCAGTAGCCACTGACTCCTGAAACGCAGGCCCAGATCAACAGAGAACCACACCAAACTGAATCAAACTGAAAAGCTCTCGGCTGTCGTTAAAAGCTACTTTTCAATCATTGTTGAAAAGGAACATTTGCATAATCACTGAACAAACATTTTGCAATGACCCTGATGGCTTGTAGACATGAGTCTGCTTTTTTTCTGCCAAAGTGCATTAAAAACATCATAAAAAAAAAAATCAGTTGAAACATACAGAGGTCGACTGCACTGTCCTCAACGTTTACAAACCAAGGCTCTGTGCGAGATATGCAAAGTTTAAGGAATGCAACCTGAAAGTCTTTATGTACATGATTACATACACATTTCACATACCTAATTCTTCAGCGGCTGCTTACCTTTTGAATATTATGCGAGACTGATACATGTTGCGGTAGCTTGGCATCAAAATCAAGCTTCCAAAAATCAATTAAATGAGATGCAACCGACGTCTTTTTCCACCAAGATCGCCTGTCTGTAATGAACTGTTTACCTGTGCCATATTTTGGTGCAAATGTAAGATGGAGTTTCCTCGGGGATTATAACGATCAGGCACACGGGAGTATGATGCACCTTGTGTACGCTGAATCATCGGTTCGAGGTATTGCTGATAGTAGATCACGATACAGGTCTGGACTGAGGCAGTAACTGGATATTTTTACACCTCAAAGGAAATAATGCATAACGGTGCATTTCTTTCCCAGAGCCTGCAGAAAATTATAAGCTTAAAACACATGATGTAAAATGACAGGTAATGTTAAAACAATTGCCTTATCCATTAAGAAAGAAAAGGAAAATGCAAAAAATACAAGATCCACCTTTTAAGCAATTACCGTTCTTTTTTTACCTTCTGGGAGCTGAAAGACTGCGTCCAGTGGTACAAAACAAGCCTGTCTTTGGAGAAGGGTTTGGGCTCTATAGCAGGTTCTTGGCTTTCCTCGCCGTCTGCGATTTTTTCCTCCTCGTCCATAGCCGATATGGGCCACCAGCTACAGTTGGTGGGGGTAACGTTGTTGGAAGACGCCATGACTGAGGGTTTTGTGCGTGTGGGAGAGTGTGTAAACGATTGAGAAACAGGGAGCGGAAGAGAGAGGGAGCGGGGATGGAGAAAGAGAGAGAGCGAGAGAGAGAGACGGTTTCAGCACCACGAACAGAGCATCATCGATTTAGCATCCCTACAGCGAAGCTAAGGCAGGCTGCCCAAGCGCAGGTTTAATTGCAGCAGATATAAGGAAAACGCAAAAAAAACACCACACAAACGATGCATAAAAACAAGATGCGTGTGCGTATGTGTGTGTCAGTATTACATCACGGCAGAAAACATGCGCCGTGGAGGCTGTGCCATGACTGAGACGTCCAAGTGGAAGAGCAAGGTCAAAACCATCTGAGTTATCACAACAACGATGCAAAAAGATGTATTCCTACACTTCATATCGGCAAAAAAGCTGAAATGGGTTTTACGATCGTTACATACAATGTATATCTGTATGCAGATGGTTTATATAGCTTAATATACATTCGACAGGTGAACAAATTGGTTGGATTCTCACCATGGCTGGGTCGCAGTGCTAGATAAAATACTTACGTACAATGCATTCTGGCTTACAAGGATAACGACATAACCGCAACAACAGATTGTAATGATTATTAACAGTGGTAGGCATAGGCAAGTAGAAGTGGTAGTCAAAGTATAATAATAGGTAGCACGTATACTGATTAATACTGAACGGGAATGCTGTTGCACTCAACCATTGTTGATTTTCTATACTGCAGTTACTTTGCAAACAACAATAAAGTAGTAATCGCACTAGTTGTTTGGTAGTTATTGGTTGTGCTAATGTTACTATATGTCGCATGTATCTGATGGGCTGACAAGCTGTAATTCGTCCGTAAAGACAACAGATGGCGCCACTAAATTATTAAAAAGCAGGTGTGAAATCAAACATTTTATTAATAAAAAAGCCTGTTACAACTGTAGCATTGTTGTTAAATACTGCACAGTTTAGCAAACTGAGGACTTTATAAGCATCAAAGACTTTTTTGTTATGTGTTATGACACAGTATTTTACAGTTATTGCATAATAAAACGTTTAGTTATTGCTATATGGAGAGTCCTAGTGCACATGCGATAGATCATTATTATTATTCAAATTATAACTGACAGAAGGGATGCTTTGGCTCCTAAACTGGGATTGACGTTTTCAGACTTTTTTTTACCTGCATGTAGACCTTGAAGGTGCCAAATAGTTTTGCTTTACAACCTCACGGAACAATTTAAGTATAGATTTCCTCCGCAGTCACACCAATAACGCAATTTCGCCTAAACTAAAATTAAGTAGCAAGTTTTCAGCTTTGGCAGCTCTATATTCGGTTGTTTTCTTCAGGTGGATTGTTTTTCTTAGAGCGACTGGTAACGGTTTTTTATTCTTTGTAATCGGCTTTATTTAATTCAATTTAACGGTTTAAACAGAAAAAATACATACTTAAAGCATTTGTATTTTGTTGTCAGTTTAGTGTGTCACTGGGTGAAAATGTTGTCCTTTGACTTAAACTAACGTTGATCGGAGCCAGTCGCTTCCGTGAATAAGATTAATGTTTAGCGCGTTAAACTTGGGGAGATGAGCGCGTCCTAACGGTCTGCAAATGGACTCACATCCACGCCCAGCCCTGCTGTGACAAATGCTCTGGCCGGGCTTTTAAAAGTACCGTGTTGCGGAGTAAGGATTGGGTTGTATTTTTGGAACAGTGTGCGGATCTGATAGCCTTGTTGGGGCCGTTATAACGTTTCCAATAGCCTTTGCGGGAGAGTGAGGGAGACAGAGGCAGGGTGAGGGGAGACGGGGCGCGGGGACTGGGGCTCCGGCAGAGCCCTGCTTAATTCCACCAAAACAAACAAACAAAAAGAGACCTGACAGCTCGACTGAAGAACATACCAGAAATATAATTAGGCAAAAAAAAAAAATGTTAATTTTCTATTAGAAATCAAAATCGATTCAGCTTTACAGAGCCAGTTACACTGTCGCCGTCAATCTGCAATATACTGGAAGAAGTTTGAAACTTTCGCAGCCGAACGGATTAAAAGGGGAGTTTGGAAACAAGCGTGGATTCGCGGGGATAAACGGCGAGTTTTGCTTTTAAGTTAGTCCGTATTAGACGATCTCGAGGGAAAATAGTCGGTATTTAATTAAATAGTATGTACAAAAAATAACCTGGGTTTACATTGTAGTAACTACAAAAGAAACTTATTACATCTTTATTAAATATCAGACGGGCTTACTTATGACAAATTGTCGAAATTTGCGCTTATGAGGAAGTTTATTACAGAGGTCAAATTAGTTGTTTGGTCCAACTACGTTGAGCAAGAATGAGTGGAGGTCGCTTTGAGTTTGATGATGGCGGAGCCTACTGTGGTGGCTGGGAGGGGGGCAAAGCCCACGGACACGGCATCTGTACGGGACCCAAGGGCCAAGGGGAGTTCTCCGGCTCCTGGAATTACGGGTTTGAAGTAGTTGGAGTCTATACCTGGCCTAGTGGAAACACGTACGAAGGGTATTGGTCTCAGGGCAAAAGGCATGGTCTTGGTTTGGAGACGAAGGGACGTTGGGTTTACAAAGGCGAGTGGACCCATGGATTCAAAGGCAGGTACGGCACACGGCTCAGCCAGGGCAGCGGTGCCAAATACGAAGGGACGTGGAACAACGGCATTCAGGACGGCTATGGCACTGAGACATATGCCGATGGAGGTAAGCGGAGGTATCTTACCTTCAATCAAAACCGCTCACTTTGTCAGACGACGGAAACTTGTATTTAGTCGACGTTCTTACTGGCATTTTATTTTCTGAGCATTTTATATTTTAAAGTTCATTTATATTACACGATCTTCAGATACTGGATTATTGCCCTTGTAGACGTAATTTGTTGGCGAATACCACTATTTTCTTTCCTAAGAGCTACTCAGTTTTCAAACATGGAGCTTGAAATAGAGTGAAATGTGTCACTGATTCATATTCCTGAAATAAAACTACAACTCAATCATGTTGACACATCTGAGTTGTTGGTTGGCTGTATTGCGGTATTGACTAAGAACCTCTGGATTGCGGTTTGAATCTCTCCTCTGATTTTTGTGGTTTTCTCTGGGTTCTCTTGTTGACTGCAACAGTTTAAAGGTGCACAGTTAAACTACTCGCCTGTAATATATACAGGGTTTATACTTGCTCTGTACTGCCTGGGATAGACTACAGTCCCCTGGAACCCAGTCCAGGAAAAGTACCTGGAAAATGTATGGATGACAAAATTGAAAACTCACACCCCATATTCTTACTCCTGTTAATGCTTACAAAGAACTAGCGAAATTAAAAGAAAAATACATGCAGTAAAGTTTTAATTCTGTTTTTAGGTGAAATTGTTTCCCAGTGGAAACTAGGTGCAATCTTCAGTGGATTATCATGTATGAAGAATAGCATACATGAAACCTGGATAATATATAGATGTGTTAAAATCTTAAATTTTAACCTATATGATAGACACCCCCAGTAATAATTAATCAGGGTAGAATAACTAGGTATCACCAAAATGCAGTAAGGATTTGGCATTCTCAGAAATAAAGCGTCTTTCAGGATAATTCAGCGTCTCTGTCGTTTCAGCTGCCAGTGAGGTGAATCTCAGTAGATATGGCCAAATAAGTGCTTCAAAGGCCAGCGTTAGGAAAGCCCTTGGAGACATCTGCTCCTATCACCCATTTGTTTGCTTCCAGCAGGAATATAATAATATGGATATAGGCAGCAGAAGGTCAGACGTGTTGCCAAGGACCACACAGCGATAGCCGTATTGAATTTTGAGCGGGGGTGTTGTTTTTTTTTAATCAGACACGTGCAATGAATCAGACAACACCAGAATCGCACATGTATTTTGACTCTAGGATGGGGGGGGGTCTTTTGTTTGGTAATCTGTAATGACTCTTCAGATTTTCTTGCAGCGATTTTTCCCTTAGTCAGTGAGCCAATGAAGAGATTCACAACAGCAATAGTGATGTGCCTTTAGATGATGCTTCTCTTTTTATAGCTCTCTGAAATCATAAAGCCCTGCATTTTTATCTGTATCAGTTGTTTTATTTTCACTTGATAGGTTTGGAAGTGTCGGATAGGGTGTGTATTGTCCATATGCCCAGTGGTGCCTCTTAGGGGTTCCCTTGGTTGACTCATCATATCTGTGACTGTGTGTAGATTGAGGTGATCATATAACAACAACGCAAGCCGTGTGCTTTTGGTCTGTCTATCACTAGGGAGTGACAGGACTTGGACATGTGCCCATCTAGGTAGTAACCAGGTCCACCAGCTTGGGATGTGAAATAGTAAAATTTATTTGTGCCAAAGGTTTTAAATAGTTTGTGTTGCTCTGAACTGCTATGATCTATAACCACTGAAAAATAATCCCAAATGGTCTGGATCCTGCACACTTTAATACTGGTTTTAAATAAGAAATTGATTTACACTGGGATCTCATTTCTGTTTGAGGTAAATTATCAGCAGGCAGACGCTTGAGCCCCAGAGGACTGGATGAGTTCCTCACCCCTGGGTGGGTGCGTGGGATGACGAGATTACATAAATTTACATGTGGTGAAAGCAAAGGAAAAAAACTATAATGGTTGATAATCTCCCTCCAAACCTCATAAATATACTATAGCCTGGGCTGATGGCAAAATCATTTTGCTAGATCCCTGAGCATGTGATTCACTTAAATATTTTATGTGGTTGGTGCTATTTCTCACTATTAGGTCAAGCAGTAGAATACTCCCTCTATTTTTGCTAATTTGGTCAAATACACAGATAAAACAGGTCACACCAAGTGTCAATAACAACACTCTGCCATGATGCGGCATTTAAATACCTCTTATTAAGGATGTTTTTGATCTCAGTGGCCACTAGCAGGACTCTGCAACAACCCACCGGGCAATACAAGCTAAGCTAGCAACCATGAAAATGAGATACCAATATTCAGGAATGTTCTTGATACATTTATCAAAAAATTCTTTTGTCTTATTAACTTTGAACATTTCTCTCTAAGATGTGAGCCATTTGATTTATATTTGATTGTTTAAAATAGTAATGCAGTCTCTTCTGTGGAAATGTTCTTTACATAGTTATTTTAAAAGACTGTATTTCAAGTTATGAGCCATATATTTGATATTAACGGTGGAGTCCCTATACTTTGAGACTTTCTAAATTGTACAAATAAATCACACCAGTTTGTTCTCACTCTAGACAACCACCTACATCTGTCTCCATAGGCACCTACCAAGGCCAGTTCACAGGCGGCATGCGACACGGCTACGGCGTCCGGCAAAGCGTGCCGTACGGCATGGCTGCAGTGGTGCGCTCCCCCCTGCGCACCTCCCTCACCTCCCTGCGCAGTGAGCACAGTAACGGCACCCTGCTGCAGCAGGACGTCCCCGTCATCACTACGACCAACGCTGCCGGCCAGGAGACGCCGCTCAAGGCCCCGGCCGCAGGTGGTCCCTCCCGTGGGGGGTTCGCCCTGACTCTGCACGTGGACCCAGACGTGGCCAAGCCCAAGAAGAAGGGCCTGTTTCGCCGAGGGTCTCTGCTGGGCAAGCTGACCAAGTCGGAGTCTCGTACCTCTCTCTCCAGTCAGAAGAGCCGGCTCAGCTTTTTGCGGAGTGACTCTGCCCTCAGCTCCGCTGCCAGCGACGCCAACTCGACCATCAGCCTGGGCGACGAGAGCGAAGCAGCTGAGAACTTTCCACCCCTAGAGCCTGACATCGATGCCACCACCACCGAGGTCTACATGGGCGAATGGAAGAACGACAAGCGTTCCGGCTATGGCGTCAGCGAGCGATCCAGCGGTCTCAAGTACGAGGGCGAGTGGCTGGACAACCAGCGGCATGGCTACGGATGCACCACCTTTCCCGAGGGTGGGAAGGAAGAGGGCAAGTACATGAACAACATGCTGGTGAAGGCCATGAAGAAGAGAGTCATTCAGATCAAGGGCACCAAGATCAGGCAGAAGGTGGAGCGCAGCGTGGAAGGAGCTCACCGAGCGGCCGCCATCGCCAAGCAGAAGGCTGAAATCGCCGCATCCAGGTAAGTGTGTACTTGTTGGCCAAATAGGTCAGTCTTACTTGTGCTGAGGATGTTGATCCTGTTCTTTAAATACACACTTGATGTCCGCTGTAATCATAAGCTTTGCTGGCATGGTAAGGTTGCTGAATGGCCGTCACGCTACCCTGAACCTGCCCCGCAGGTCTCACACAAGTCTAACTGAGCCAATTTTGTAAACCACACAGGAGAAAAAAATATTTTCAGGGCCAAACAAAAGCTAAGCGAATTTGAGGTGTTTTATGGAGTGTCACAGAGTCTGGCTTTGCATCAGAACCCTTTGCGTTGGTGTCCACCTGGGGATCTGTGCCAGTGAGACCACTGGAACTAAGGGGCCGATCCACATTTTTTCAGTTCCTGTCCGAATCCGAGCTGTTTTTACTTCAATATTTATATATATACATATGCCAAAAAATCTTTAATTGGGCTATTAGAAACATACATAACGTACTGTTCCACCTCGTTTGAACATTTTGTTTAAGCATTTTTGAGGCATTTGCAGTTCAATTTGAATATCCTCCAGCGCAGTATACTGTACACAAGTGGCGAATGCTTACAACGCAGCACAATTTTTATCCCACTGGCAACAGTATCACTTACACTTAATTGAGATAAAAGCCCCTCGTGTATCACAAGCAGCAGCAAATACACAAAACGTGAGCTTTCCCACTAAACAGTACTTCCACCTCTCAAAACTTTGTTTCTACAAATGTTGCAAATCCCTGTGCTACTAGTTGTTGTTTAAAGTGTAAAATACTTCCAGATCGTCACCCTCTTTTCTGATGTTCTTATGCTCCTCTTATTGTAAAGGGTATGCTCATGGTGTCACAGCAGGCAGAAGTGCTCAAACTTACTGAGCGGCAAGAAAACTGAGTTGTAGTGTTAGCGTTCAGCTTGAATGCCACAAAAAAACACATTTAAAATGGGAAAAAGCTGTCGTGCGATTGATTGTACAAATCGATTTAACAAGAAATAGGAGCTATCTTTTTAGAGACTGCCAAAAACTAAATGAGTAAGTATTGGACATGAATTGATCACTTACCTGATCCGTCTAATAGGTATGGATTGGCACCGATCCCAAATATCAGATCGATGCACCTCTAACTAGGGCTGTGCAATATGACCAAAATCCTCCTGTTTCCACTCCCCTTCCTACCCAGCGAGGAGTTGTACAGTTTGGTGGCATGTGGGACGAAGGAGTTTTTAAGTCTATTGGTCTGGGTGGGAAGATATATTTTTTAATAGTTTTGAGTTCCCTCAATATTTTTGCGTTCCCTCGCATTACTTTTCCTTTACTAATAATAACTCTACTGTCCGTTTAAAGTACAAAAGATAGAATTAATGGAATAGTAAGTATGAACCTTAATGATACAGGCATGTCCAGTTAAGTGTGCTTTAAGCACTAAAATATAGGGGACAATGCACACTGTGTCATTTTCATATATGTTTTTAAATGTATTTATTAATAATTTCACTGTGTCCATTCACCTTCAGTGATTGTAAACACGACAGCTGTTTACAGTCTTAATTAAATATTAATTAAAATCCAACCATAAAGAAATCTGGAAGATCAAGGAATGTTGCTTGCTTTTGTTGAAAGGTATTACAGCCGGAAAACTGTATATAAAGCGAACTTTTCCGCTGTGTCATAGTTGGGGTTTAAACCCGAACCCACTTTTGGGTATACCTTTAAACCCGAACCCACTTTTGAGTATACCTTTAAACCCGAACCCACTTTTGGGTATACCTCCCTGGTATTCTCGCTTGATGCTGTATGTAGGGATATGTGAATCTTTACTTAAATATTTCAGGAAGTTGGTCAGTGTTTAAACCTTAACTCCAACAGCTTGGTAAAGTTAGCTTTATATGCAGCTTTCAATTTATGTGCAGATTTCAATTCAGTTTGTTACATATTTCAGTGTTTGTATGTGTACTCACGTTCGATAGCAATTGTGTTGCTTAAAGTCAAAGGCAGTGAAAGAATACAGTGCAATTATTAATAAATATGCATATAACACATAATATTAAAGTTACGTGGCCCCCCATATTTTAATGCTTAAAGCACACTTTACAGTATTATTTAGGTTTATCCATGCCTATATAGTGGGATTGCAAAACTACTACAAGTGAACAGAAAACTATTTAAAAAAATCTTTTCCCACCCAGACTTCTTAGGGGTTCTGTAGCAGTACGAACTGGACAAAAGTCCACAAATCAATAAGAAAGAAATCACAAATGTAATGCGATCCACAAATGTGCTCTATTGTTGTGTATATGATTTTGCACAACACAAATGAAAAAATACACATTTGTGGATATTGAAATATTTGTGGAACGTAGTGCATATTTGTTAAGTGTCTTCTGTAGGTTACAAATAATGAAGTCCAATAAAAACTACACATCCCATGTGTTGGTGAGTAACATTGCAAAACTGTTTTCCAAATGATGAAAAATGTTGCCATAAATAGTGTAATTTGCGATCCCTCGAAATAAACGATAATAATATGAAACGATAAACGTTTTTTTCGTCATTGATATAGTATATCGTGATATTGCACAGCCCTACCTCTAACTGGGACTCAGGTACCAGGACAAGGCAGCCACCTTCAGGGTTCTGTGAGGGCATGGATACCCTTAATGGGGGGGGGGGGGCAGCAGTTTTCAGGGATCCTTGAACATGTAAAATTATGTAATTATGAGGGAGCCCAAGGTGACATTTCGTCATGGGGCCCAGAGTTTCTAGCTACATCCCTGGCCACTATTAAAAGAGATTGACAGGTGAATACACAACCATAGTCAATGAAGATATTTCATTTATAATTTAGGTTGTCGTCATAGTTACTTCTCAAACCATCACAAAAAAGGAAACTATGGAGTTGAGTCGGTCCTCTGATCCTCTATCACAGTGATTTCTGCATATTCTGTTTTTCTGCGGAATGTTTGCCATCTCAAAACCGGTTGTTGCTTCTTGTCTTGCTCCCCTCGCTTATTATCACTCACTCTTGTTGACTGACCATCACACCTAGATGCTCTCCTGCAGCTCCCATATCAGTCTTAAGTGACACAGGACATATCCCATTATCTTATAGATAAAGAGCAAGCAAAGCTCTCACTCTAGAACCACTGGTTCTCTGTAGCCACCGTGGAGATACTAAAGGAAGATTCCCCTTCAGCTAAGTCACTTATTTCACTGTCAGATTTTTTATGGTATGTTTTGCACCTGTTCAAGTGCAGGTCATGTAAAATGCCCTGGGTAATGTAACTCTGTACCAGGTGTAGTGTTCAGTCTTGAATTTACGAGAATTACACAGTGTTAAACACTGTTGTTTTTCTCAAACCTATGCAACGTGTTACAGAAAAAAAACTCAACTAAAGCAGAAAACAGTAGCTACAGACAAACACACAAGGATTAGAGCTGGGACAATTGTATGTTTATAAGCTGACATGGGAGTAAATTGTGTTTCCAGGCAACAACAAGGGTCATGAAATCTAAGGGCAGTTTGATCACTGTAAAAACCCAGAGTAGTGACAAACCAAAGAAACTCCACTTTGCTGCAGGCAGTGAGTGTAGCACCAAGACTATCATTTTTAATAGTGGTTGCATGGGACCTGTCAGCACTGGGTTGCCCACATGAACTCCATTGTAATGCCTCAGTAGACAAAGACCCCAGCATCAGCAGTTTATGCTAAGAAACCAGAGGATAATAAAAATTCTGTTTTGTTTTGTTTTCTTATGTTATACTAAACAATTTAAATCTCATGCAGAAAGGAAGAGTTTTATTACAATGTTATGGTTAAAACTGACCCTGTTTACTTAAATATTTGGACATTAAATAATCTGAAATAAGATGACAGATCTTAACTCGGGGAAATGTCTGCTGTTACACAGGCTTGAAAATCCGCTGCTTTCTATGATGACGAAAGATGTCTTTGCAATGATATTCCCTGTCCTGCACGTTGAGAATGTGTTTATTCAGCCATGAGGAGAAGCATATTTCCTGCCCAAGACAACTTGACGATGCAGCCATTCCAGGAATTTGTTATAAAACATTTGTGATGCAAACTATTCTGATGTCTTGTGACAGCTGGAGGTCACGATGATTCTCTGTACCATGGGATAGAATGTTTTTAAGCCTGCAGATTTGCTGCCTTCTCTAGGAGTTCTGGAATTCATATGTAGATCTAAGTAATAAGAATGTGTAACTACAAAGAGGACTGGACCTAAAGGTTTGGAGAATATTGCGGCAAGTAGTCCGAGCCAGCTTTACTTACATGGATCAGATATGGAGGGCTAAACACTCTGTGCATCTCCTTACAAGGAAGGGACTGCTCATCAAAGTTAAAGCACCTGAAATTAACACAGCATTTGCAAGAGCAAGGACACCAATGACGAACTGCAGATCCCATCCTACAAGGCTGGAAACATAAACTTTAGAGCACGGAAACAAGCAGTCTGATGGTCCAGAACCAAAGTTGGTCCAAAACCAGAGTTTGTTATTCCAGCAGACAAGTTGAGGCGTGTGTGTGCGTGTGTGTGTGTGTATGTGTGTGTGTAGGCTAGAGGTCAGTGGATTAGACAAACAATCAAGACTTGGTTACTTTAGAAGTGTGATAGATTACCAGTGGTATCTTTACAATTTCTTTATATCCTACTATGAACACTTTGCTAAAAATCCCTCATATATGATTCATGAAAACATGATGGGATAAGGCAAAGACCTTGGAAATGATGTGGACTCTGTAGCACTCCTGACAATTTGGAGTTAGATGACCTATCAGACTAGGCCATTAGTTCAGCTTGCTGAAACAGGCAAAATAAGAATCTGAAGCTTTCAATGATCTATTATTGTGCACTAATGAAACAAAACATTATCTTGGATCTGTGACCTTTGCAGTGAGATTAATGCATATAGAATTATTAATTACACTTTATATTTCTGTGGATTACCATCAGTTGGAAGCAGGGGACCCTACAAAAAATTATC